CACAAAAAGGATTAACCATGACTCAGAGCATAATCTAAATTACAAAATAGGAATTTTACTGTATTATGTTTTGGAATAACTTTACTAGCAAAAGAAAGCCCAATTTCTTATAAATCATCTTCAGAGATTATGTAATATGTTGGAAAGGAAAGGGCTTGGAGTGTGTTAGCCCTTTGAATGTTGCCTCTGCTCACTACGTGACCTTATTTACTATCCTACTTACTCTTCCTGGGTTTTGCTTTCTTCCACTGTATCATGGTATAATAGGTAAGTAATTAAAATGCATGAGAGCTTAGAACACAGTCTGTGTTCAATAAAAGTATCTATTATTGTTACTCTTATTAAAACTCAATTTCTACTGTTACTCAATTACTCAAGACAGGGTTTCATGTAGAATAAATTTATTTTCAGGATGGGTGGTAGAGTAGAATTTATCTATGATTTTCTCTATTAAAACACTGGTAAACAAATCCAAGTCCTCAAAAAACCTTATTTTACTATATAAATTTCCTGGGTTCAAGAGAAATCATTAAGAATGACGCCAACTCTGTATATTGCCAATCTGAATGGTGATTAGGCTTATTTAATAAAAAGTAATGCTAAATGGCCTTATAATACTCAATGAATAGGCAATTTCTTTTCTGATATATGCAAAATCAATTTTGATGCAGACATTTTTCTATATATCAAGATGGATATGGAAATTTTTTTCTAACCACCCAGCTGCTACAATGTTAAATAAATTAATTTTAATCTTAAATCAGAGATGTAATAGAGAGAGGGGTGATTTAATATGCAATCTCATTACATTTGACAGGCTTATTTATAAATGATTTGCCCCACATTTTGACAAGCATAGTTAATATGTTAATTAGCTTTTAAACAGATGATGAAAGGAAGAGACTGACACGCTATCATTCTTCACACACCATGTTGGGGAGCCCTGTCATTGATACCATAAGGTAGTGCTATTACATAGTGTGGCCCCCAAAAGCACTGTGATCTTGATGAGATAATTATTTGTCAGCTACAGGTAACTTAGTCACCTTATGTTAAAAATTAATCCCTTAAAAGAATCCCAACCTATCTTCTGCTTTAGAAAATAAATGTCGCTCTAAACATACATATGAGCTTCCATGAAGACTACAAAGCTAATTTAGAGCAATGACCTCCACAGCTAGAACAGAACTCTGACAAGAGAGGAACTAACTACAGGCATAAGCTGCTTTCACATCTGCACTTCTCTTAATGGGGTTCTCAGCACTTGGTAAGCCTCTTTGGTTTAGAAGCTTAAAGATGATTTCCTATACCTTGACTTCCAAAGAGTTATAAAATCCAAGAATTAAGAGAAGTTAGACAGGAGACAATGTCCAATTTGATTCCTCTGCTTAAGGACTCCTTTCCGGAAGGAGACAAAGGTATCAAACACTGTCTGTCTAGCTGAGTGCTCAAATCCCAAGGGATGTTCACACCCACCCCGGGGCTGGAGACCCAGAGCAGCAAATCATAACAGGGCGAGCTCTGATTCCCATTACTTGCTGCCAACGTTAATGCCTATGTGTCTTCATTAATATTTTATTGCCTGTGGTTATTTAAACAGAAAACTGGAAAATGTAACACTGTGTAGGGATCGTTAGGCTTTAGTTACTACCCTCTTGCCCCAGGATGGTAATGAACTGTAAAAATAGCCTGAGACAATTGCCACCTGCCTCCCTGCTATTGTCCATGGGTTAATATTTGCACTTCTCCTTGGTGCACCTGAGCCATGGCTCAATTATAGTCCCATTTCTAGGTCTTCACATACCCAGCATCGATCTCATTTATTATGCAAATATCGGCGCCCTGTGGACATCTCCCTAACTGGAGAAATACCTGACTTATAGGATAATATCACAATGGCTTTTAGAAAATGGCTTGGAATGAAATCAAATTCAGCATGACAGGCATGGCATAGACGTAACTCAGATTTTAGGGCTTGGAAATGAAAAGCCGAGAAGCATAGGGAACGGCTCAAACATAACACATTGACTATTTGTTTTTGCCAATGATAATTGTTGCAGGCAGGCCAAAGGCATTTGGGGGTCTACTATTTTTTTAATACTCACCCGAGGATATGTTTATTGATTTTAAAGGAAAAGGAGGGGGAGAAGGGGAGAGAGAGAAAAAGAGAGAAACAGCAACTGAATGCCTCCTATGCACACCTGGACCAGGAAATGAACTGACAACTGAGGCACATGCCCTGACCGGGAACTGATCCTGCAACCTTCTTCTTTTTTTTTTAAATATATTTTTATTGATTTTAGAGAGGAAGGGAGAGGGATAGAAACATCAATGATGAGAGAGAATCATTGATAGGCTGCCTCCTGCATGCCCCCTACTGGGGATCAAGCCCACAACCCAGGCATGTGCCCTTGGCCAGAATCGAACCTGGGACCCTTCAGTCCGCAAGCCAACGCTCTATCCAGTGAGCCAAACCAGCTAGGGCAGAACCTGCAACCTTCTTGATGTAGGGGAGGATGCTCCAACCAAATGAGCCACCCATCCCAGGTCTACTATTTTGTATCAGTTTTCCTCCCTTCCACTTTAAGTGGAAGACTTATTCTTCTACTTCATTATGTCTCTGGTTAAAGTAAATGGGCAGAAAGTGCCCAAGCCTTCTTCCTTAAGAGAATGAATACATATATGAAAAGAAAAATGTGTATGTGTGTATGGCGGGCGTGAGGGGGGTGGTGTGAGGGAGGGTGAGGGAGGCAAAGACTGGAAATCAAATGCCAATTTTCAGAAACAGACATGTCAGCAAGTCACAATCTATGTGGCTCTTTGTACTTATCACAGCACTTTTAAAGATTTGGGGGAAATTAGCCAATAGTGTATAAAAAACAGCTTCTCCCATTGATGAGGGTAGAATCTTAACTGAACTGCCAAGCACTAAGACAAAACTGGCCCCAAGCCACAAATATTTCCAAATTATGTTCTATTAGCAGAGTCCTTAACTGACCCCACTGAAGGCAACCCACAATTTCCATACTTTAAAATGGAGAAAACCACTCCATAACTCAAGAATATTAAGCAATGATTACTTGCATAGCCTACTCTCAGGAGGGAGGAAGGAAGTTAGAAAGTTAGTAATTGATATCTGATGAGTCTTTGACCTTTATTTCCAATTTTTTACTCCATTACAACCAATGATCAAAATATCTATTGCCCCTGCCTAGTCTTGGGATAGGGGGGGGGGGGTAATATCTAACTGTAACAAAATGTCCAAAACAAACAAAAAAGCCAGAAGTGGGATGAAAAAATAGATTAGCTCAGCTCCTCAATGATAGATGGTCATCTTTATGCTCAGTGTTTTGGAACATGCATTATGATGGTATCAGATGTATTATAAGGCATTACAAAAATGTATGGCAATAGATCTTAGGCTGTTTGATGACCCAGATTCCTTTATAACTCTATTGAAAGCTGAAGATCTACACCCCATAAAAATAAATAGGTCCATGTGTACACAAAATATTGCATGTAATCTCAGTGGTTTCAAAGTTCCCGAAATCCCATTCCCAGGGGGTTTGCTGGAACCTAAATTAAGAAAATCTACACTGTGCCCTACATCACAAGGAACTTGTTTTCTCACCGGAAAATATTGGAATCACAAACATCAGGGAAGAAGCCAGACCTCAGCACGGCCTAATTAACTAAAAGCCAAGATAACTGAGGGCAGAGCTGTGAAGTAAGTACATGGCAGTAAGATAAACACCACGTGCTAAAGTTTTATTGAGGTCGCAAACATTATATGAACATGTAGCTGAATTCTGTATATGGGGCACAGTCATTCTTAGAAGATGATTCCTGCTATAAAATAACCACATGGTATGTAAACTGTTTTGCTTTAAACACAATTGTGAGTCTAGAAAGGGATTTTTCCATTAATTAAGGACATTTTCAACAGTCACTAGTAAGCCCTTCCTGAGTGCTGAAATTATTACCTTATTTGATTCAGATCACAATGGATTGGGAACCCATACTTTGTTATAAATAATAATCAGGCATTAAATCTCATGAGTCTCTGAGCCTCCTATTACGATAGATTCTTAAGTTTGGCTAAACCATCATGTGAGATTGAGACTCTACAGAAATTAAATGTATTGTGACCCTTTAAAAGAGTAATTTTATTTCATTTTGGATAATTGGTGGCAACAGTTTCCAGAAATATATTGCACCAAATTTAGTGCCTGGCAGTTACACCAAAACCTTCAGACCACTTATCCGAGCTTCGTTGTGAATTTAAACATGCTAGCTACTACTTCAAACCATACTGTTGTTTGGAGATATAGATATACATCCTTGCCATAAATCAAAGCCACAAATTAAGACCTTTAGGGAGAAAAATCACTGACTACTTGTGGGAAGCCACCGCTTGCCAATACTGTCATCAAGGAATGCAGAAGGCTGATGGACCTTGGGCATTAGCAGGGCTGATGCTCAGCATCTATTGTTTGTGTTGATAGCGGTGGCTCAAGGCAATTCCCTAACCTGATAATCCTGTTACTGTTTACCAAACTTTACCTTTGATATGCCTGTATGCATTGCTAAAGGGCAAATGTGTATTCAAGTAAACAAACAGCGGACCAGGCCAGAAGTCAGTGTGTCTCTTCAAGAAAGAGACTCCACCAGGCCCCCAATGCCTTCTAAATTCATATTTCTTGTATAGCATTTTCATTTGTGCATCAGCCCCTCCTGAACCCCACCGCGAAAGTCACGGCAACTACTGACAGTTAGAAAAGTGTCTCTGCCCCTGTCCATCAAGAGGCCCCATCTGCAAGGCAGGCTCTGATTAGGAAATATTCCCAATCATGTTTGTTAAAAATCTAGTATCACTGCCACACACCAGCAAACACTCCTCCACCATTAATCTTCATTCAAACTGTTGGGATGTTTATCTAGGCTTGACACAGACCAAGTGCCAGGGATAGATTAGCTAGAGAAAAGCTTCCGTTTCTCACCACATGTCCAGGCAGGTAGAATACTCTGTTGAGCCCAGGAGGACATCTGGAGGTCGGTACCATAAGGTAACCACTTCATTGGAGTACGTGTGGCTAGGGACCGATTTTGCTCTTGCAAGACCTGCGGGTTACATGAAACATAAAGAAGTTTAATAGGCATTCATGGGACAAGGGAATTTAAGTTTGAATGTTAACAGTTTTAAAAGGTCAAACATGACATTGTGATACAGAGTCAGTGCTAAGGTTACAAGAAAGGCCGACTTGTTTCAAACACATGCTTGTAAATCATTTATATCCTTAATAAAACATCATGACAGTAATAAAATCCCAGGAGAGTAAACAAATGATCCATCAATGATTAGACATTACACAGAAGCTTAGAAATCTTCTGGACTTTCCAAAGAATGTTCCATGGACCTCTAGTTCTGAGAGCTATAAATAATGTTATTGGAAAGGCTTCCAAGGTCAAATAATTTTGAGAAAAGATGGATTAAGAAGTTAAACAGTATTCCATACATGAGATTGCTCAGTGCCTTTAATTGTCCTAATGTGTAATGTGAATCTGAGAGAAGACAGACTGACAGTTTTCTCAAAGAAGATTTCCCAAACTTCTTTGGGTTTCACGTTCTGTCAAGCACTTGCTAGGAAACGCTTATTCAGGAAGTTCACTTAAAAACTACCTAAATAAAAAATTATAAAGGAATAGTTCAAAAAATTAAAATGTTTTTAAAGAATTTTTTAAAACTGGGAAAATGGTCACAATAATATGTTCAGTGATAATGCACGTGCAGTTTGACCTCACAACAAAGAATGACAGGAAATGCATTTTTCCAAATTTTCTACAATGACTATGATTCCTTTAAAAATCACAAAATCTAGAAATTTCTTTCTTAAAAGAAGAAATAATCTGTGATAGGGTTCTATCTGGGTATGTTAATTAATGACAGGGGTAAAGTATTATCACTGTAATGCTCAAAACACATATAACATTTTAATAATATTCTACCAGAACAAATTCATTTTCTTGTTCTGCTTATTTAAATTTTTATGTAGTACTTAGAAACATGACTTTTTTCCTGTTTATTAAACACTTGGTATTCCCTTTTGTATATTCTATGTAAACGTTAAAATTAATAGGACAGCTGGTGAGACAAGAATTTCTAATTAATTCAACTATGCTATATGTTACAGTAACTCAATTTTTCTATAGTTTTTCTAATAATATAATGGCATATTACAAATTGGTGAATGTTTATAAGTATTCCATATTAAAATGGACAGATTATAAACACAAATACATACACATATGTGGTCTCCAACTTTTTTGCACATAAATAGAATAACTAGTTTTGATAACAGATTTCTACTTTGATAACAGATTTCTACTTTTCTTTTTCCTTTTAATTTATAGTGATTAGACATTCATATACCTTACGAAGTGATCACTCCAATAAGTCTAGTACCCATCTGACACTATATAGTACATAGTTATTATAATATTATTGACCATATTCCCAATGCTGTAGTTTACAGTCCCATGACTATTTTCATAACTGGAAATTTGTACTTCTTAATCCCTTTCACCTTTTCTCTGCGAGGTTCTGTCCTACCTCAATTCAGGCAAAGCTGACCACCAGATAGGACAATCATGGTGGCAGTGTTTCCAGAATCTAGTAATCCCATCAAAAGCTTTAGTTCCTCAAATGGGCATGTTTCTATACAAAGAGCTAAGCACAAGTCCTGAAATAGGTTCTGACTCGTTTCATATGCTGTTGTCAAGTCAAAGGGGAAGCAAAAACATCCAGGCTGGATTCCCTTGGCTTTTCTGAGGCCCTGTTGACAGAAAGCCAGGCCAGAGGGATAGGAGAATGAAAACATCTGAGATTTCTTTGACAGCTCAGAAGACCAGGCTAGTTATAGAAAATTACGATATTTTCACTTTTAAAGGGAGAACATGACTTCAAAATAACTTAGAAATAGTATAAATCTAAATAATTATATGTGATTTCAGGTCAATTATGTTCACTGTGACTTTAAGTTTATAAAACTGGTTAAATATATCTGGAAAATATAAATAGAAAAGGCGTTGTCTACATTATTTTCCTCCTTCCCACATGTTTAGGTCAAGGACTGCCCAAATTCCATTCACGAGGGTCACAAAACTTCCCAAATTAACAGTGAAAATGAGTTTTCCATATCTAACTCTTCAATGTGTTAAGACAGTTTCTTAAAATAATGTGTGCGAAAAGTTATCATACATTGAAGAATGTTACATTCTTCTCACTTTAATAAAGTCAATTGAAACAGTTCCTTGTGGAAAGTATCCTGTATACTGATAAACAAAAGGTTTTCACCCTACCAGTATTTCTGTTCAGTTAAAAAGATAAATAAATCCCAAAACTCTTCAGGGAGGGAGTAAATTACTAAACAATGACTCAAAAAAAAAAAAGAAAAGAAAGAAAAAGAAATAAAGTATACTTTGAAGTAGTAATATATAACTGGGCTTTTAATAAATATTTTGGGTAAAGACATTGCTCTGTATTTATACAGTTCATGCATCAAAACACGCTTACTCATACAAAATTTATTAAACTGCATCCTGCAGCTGAAGGAAAACTGTAGGACAGGATTAATTAGCACAGCATGTGTGAAAGCCTTTTCTCTCTGTTCCTTGTCAGTTGCTATGGTTACACTACAGGAAGAGAGCTACACTACCTTAGAGAAAGGATGAAGTTCATGGGTTATTATCAAAACTTCTTGCATTAATGTTTAGTGTGAATAAAAAGTTAAAAAGCCAAGCGAAATGCTAACCAGATGAATACAGGTTACCTGCACGCCACAGTTGTGGTTGAGTGTGTGCATATGAACTGGTGCTTGTTGCTATGGGCACCGAAAATAGCTTGCATAACAATTCAGAGTATCCAGGTTTAAGATGTTACTGTTTCTAACTAATCAAAGACCCTCAAGTAGAGTAAAAAAAAAAAAAATCCTGCTATTCAAGCCCTATTGCCAATTATTCAAAGGCAGGCAACCTTGATACTGGCTAGCACAGCAGAATCTTAGATTTCTAGAAGAGCTCTGAAGGTTTATAGTTAACCTCTTACCCAATGAAAGAGTTCCTTTTTCCATATATCTTCAAGATGGTTATCCAACATCTGCTGCCACCCTGAGCCTGGTTCTACCCTCTTGCAGGGATTTGGGATAAATCACTCGGCAGTGCTTCTAACTTTTGCCCTAAGCTGCCAGTCATTCAGCATCAACCAATGGAGATGTGCTCTAGAACAGCAGTCACCAACCTTTCGGACCTCACAGACCACCAGTGGTCCGCGGGCCACCAGTTGGTGACTGCTGCTCTAGACCTTATCTTAATAGCTCTCTCAGCTGCAATGGACCTCTCTTCCTCTTTTTAAAATCTACTCCCTTGACTTCTCAGATATGGAAACAGCAGTGACCTGGTCTCCGTCTCCATAAGGGATCTTCCTCTATATGCTGTTTTTGTGTGTTTTTTCCTAGGGCTATTATTTATTCAAACCAGGTAACTGTGGCTAATACCATGTTTTAACTGTTATGGATAGGTGATTTCTCATAAGATTGTATCTCCAGCTTCTATCTTTCCAGGGGCTTCCGATCTGGGTCTGTCCAATTCCTCAGCAAGGATGTCCTGCAGGAACTCAACACAACCCCAACCCCAAGTCCCTGTAGCCATCTCTGTCGAAAATACAGGGAATATGCCCTAAGCCAAGGAGTAAATGCATTTTACTAGTAAACTGTTTTAGGTTCCCCAAACAATAAAAGTTATTTTAGTTGTACACAGATATACATTAGATTTTATATTCCATGCACATCGAACTATTCCTTCAAATTCCAAGGCATCCTTTTTGCAGGTGGTAAAATTGTTTGGAGACTGTGAGTAATCTCTCAAACTCTATGGAGAAAATCACTAAACCTAGTACAGCTCAAGATTGATCACCTTCATGTCTTCGCTTTGACTAAGGGATTGAAAAAAAACTGGCAACACTAACTGGTTTCTTTCAAATTAAGTGGAATAATGGCAAAAGCTAGATGAACTTACAAAAGTCAACTAAAATAAGATAAGAAGGAGTATCTTTCACCACTTCAGTCTTTCCAGAGGACGGGCCACTGTTTTGTGCTTGTCAGTGATTTCGGTTTTTTATTGGAACAATTCCCACACCTCTCTCTCAACATACTTCATTTCCCAAACTAAACCATCAGAAAAAGATGGTCATGTTCCTAGTTAATCACAAAAAGCAATATGTCTAGGCCAGGGGTTCCTTCCTTCACAACCTGGAGCTAAACAGACATGAATTATTTGGGTAATAGTTCACCCTCGGGCAGATGGGCTGGAGAGGGAGAGACTCCGCTATCCCATGAGTCATCCCTGGAGAAGGGCAGCGAAGGCTTCTCATTTCTTCCCCTTTCCACAGTCCTGGGAGCTGGCCAGGAATTTCTTTTTTCATACCAATTTTTAATGGAGTACTCTCCCTGCTACAGGATTTATATTAAATGTCTCAGGCTGTGCTAAAGCGGCTTGAAAATCTTTTATTGCTGCTCTTAGAGTATATCAGAAAACAACCACCACACAAAACGCGGAAAACACTTTTTTCTGTTCTTCTCCCAAGTTCTGGCTTTAACCTCTTTCCTCTGCACTTGACAAATTTTCCTGGATGATTTCATTTAATCCCGTGGCTCCAGTTACTATCTATATGCTGGTGATCTCAAATACATTAACTCTAGAATTAATCTTCCTCTAAATCTTTAGGTTTCTACACTAAAAATAGCCACTTAGGTCTTCTACGGCTATCTCAAACATTTCTCCTGTCCCCAATTCTCCAACCAGTACTACTCTCTCCAGTATTCTGTAACACATCATTAACCATCACCATCAATTCATTCACTAGAGCCAGAAGTCTCATCTCATTCCAGGTTCCTTTCACTTACAAAATTACAAAATTCAATGCATTTTACTTTTTTTAAAATCCCCACCCAAGGCTATGTTTATTGAGTTGAGAGGGAGAAACAACGATGTGAAAAACATTGTTCAGTTGCCTCTCGTATGCACCCTAACAGAATTGAACACACAATCTTTTGGTGTACAGGTTG